GTTGTCATTTCTCTTCAATCTTCGCGCGGGAGGCTGGGGATTGGGCAGTAGCGTAGGCCATCACCCTCACCGTGGATGAAAAGGATCCTCCTCTGGAAGAGGCCGCCTGAGATCCAGTTGCTTCCTGCCTTTAGTTCTCACTTGAAAACACTGGAGTGAAATGTAAAAACACTGTTGTTAATGACAGCTCGTGTGGGCCCAGACATTCCTGACCCTTTGTTCTTCCTCTGCCCCAACTCTGAGCCTCACTCTGTACTCACCCGTCCCCGACCTCTAGTCCCAGTGGGGCTAGGGATGGGTGAGGCATCCATGCAGCACATGGCTCGTGGATTTTTCTTTGAGCTGCAAATGCAATGGTCTGTTTCTAGACTGAGTCAGGATGTCACGGGCCCTGGCACTGGCATCGGTGCTCCCTTCCCGCTTTGCCTTTTCTCCTCCTTGGAAATCCTGGTGGTGGGCTGCCTGTGGGGGCCGAGGATCAGGCACCCAGGGGCTTGCGCTGACTGTGTCCTCTCCGTTTATCCCCTCTCTAATGCAGCCGCCCAGTTCATCTCCCCGCAGAGACTCCTGACCCATCTCATGGTAAGTGACACCGGGGTGAATACGATGTCTCCATTCAACTGTCCCTCTGCCCAGTGGTTCTGCAAATAGTTTGAATACTGCTCTACTCCAGGCCTTATGCTGGATATGGAATCGGGAGGTAGGGCCAGGATCATGGAAGCCCTGGGGAGAGGCAGCCCAGGCCAAAGAGCATGGAGAGGAGGGATCTGGGAGCAGAGTGGTGGGGCCTGGAGCGTGGGGAGAGGTCTCCTGTGCGGCCTCATGTGACCTTTCTGTTGACCTTGGGCAAGTCCCCATGCCTTTCTGGATATCATTTTCTTATCAAGTACATTTCACACTGCTCTCTTTGCCCAGCACTGTGACAGGTGTTATGAGCACTCGGAGAGACAAGCTGTAAACCTGCCCTTGAGGGGCTCACCCATGGCTCAGTGTGATAGATACACTAACAGAGGAACATGCAGAGTGCAATGGGGTCTTATAAGAGCAGTGGGCTAACTTGGCCCTCAGTAGTCATGGAGGACATCATGGAGGAGGTGACATTTGAGGGCATTTTGGAGAATATGTTCATCAGGTGGAAAAGAATGGGGAGGGTCTAAGCTTCAGCTCTACCATTCTGTGGATTTGTTCTAATTTCCTTCCTTCTCTTCTCTTAAATCCTCTTGTCTGCCTTCTGTTTGCTTCTCCTGTTTCTCAGTTGTGTTCTCTGAAGCCCTACAGAGAAAAGAAGTTTGGAGTAAGTGCCCTAAGGCTACTCCATGCCTTACACCCTATCACCTCCCTGCATCCTGTTATCAACTCGAACGTGGGCCAGCTGTGGATGAAGGAGATCCCTCAGATGTTGCAGATCCTAGATGGTGAGGGCTTGGTTGGGAGGGTGGAGGGATGGAGTAAGGGCAGTGGGGCTGACTCCAGAGGGATGGGTTCCTGAGGTGTGGGATGGACCATCTTTGGGGTGAGAACTGGCACCAGCCTCCCTGTAGCTCTGGAATGCTGCTTGGATGGGTCTGTGTTATGCATTGAGCAGATGTGCAGCCCAGAATTCTGTGGCGCCAGGGCTCCCAGACTGGCTGCTGTCCCTTACGGGTGGAGGATCAGGGAACATGTGAGCTTTGGAACCCAGACCCAGGCTTGAATCCTTGCTCTGGACTGACCAGCTGTGTGTGTTTGACCTTTGGCAAGTCCCTCATGTCTTGGAGCCTGTGTAAAGTGGGGTTGCAGCTACCCTGCAGGGTTGTGGAGAGAATGCATGAGATGATGGGCATACAGCCCCAGCAGAGTGCTCCCGAGATGATGGGCATACAGCCCCAGCAGAGTGCTCCCATATGGATTCTTCTCCCCGGGGGTCCCCATGCTCTGGTGGCTCCCCATTCACTTTCCTTTCCCAGAGCACTCTGAGAAGAGCCTGAGCCAGAAGGAGTGGGAGAGCAGGCTGCTCCAGGTGAGCCCTCCTGAGGGACACTTCACTCCACCTGGTGTGGCTCCCTCTTCAGGGTCCTTAGGGAAGAGAAGCCAGGGCCCTTCTGTGGCTGAGGCCACTATCGAGGGATCTCCCTGACCAAGGGAGCCCTTCTCTGGGCACCCTAGCCTCCTGATCCCCCATCAGAGTCTCTGACTACACCTAAGGCTCAGCCCGCGTTCCACGCTCTGAAGGCCCTACCTTCCATGGACAGTAAGGAAAGAGCCCCAGCTGTGTGTCCTTGGGCGAGTTACCTAGTCTTCCTAGGCCTTAGCTTCTTTGCCTGTAAAATGGGAATGGTAACTCCTATTTCATAGAATTAAATAGGATGACGTAGGACAGGGTCTTGTAAACTGGAAAGGGCCTCTTCACACAGGGAGCTGGCATCACCGTCATTGTCACTGGATTCATTCTCTAGTCCTGACTAGCCCCCTCCATGTACTCCATCTCTTCCCCTTTCTGAGCTTTCTCCGTGTTTCAGACAGTGCCCGGTCTCTTGCTTCTTTTTTACCCCGCTCCCCTGGGGCAGAAAAGCCCTTCCACTCTTCTTTGTGGTCCTCTTCTCCCTTTCCCTACCTTAGTTTTCAAGCCAGTCACTAGCAGCCATCAATGATGACAGCTGGCTGGAGCAATTGGCCACGGTCATCTTGGAGAAGATACGTTATTTCAGCAACAACGAGGAGAAGGTGCGTCTGTACGTGTGGCTGGGGTGGCAGTGGAGGCTGGTGCTGGCTGTGCCGGGTGGAGGAGGGCTGCGGGGACGCTCGTGGAGAACAGACCTGCGGGCAAGAGCACACCTGAGTTCCTGGTCCTGCGGAGTGGAGGGCAGGAGGTCAGGAGGCGGGGTGGTCGCCCAGGAACAGTCGCGGTGTGGAGTAGCTCCCATCTGCTGGGCATTTGAGGCTTTTTCGAGTTCTCTGCTGTCTGTTGTCTTAGCTGAGCCTCCCGGCTCTTCTGTTGCAGAGCGGAGCTGGCACTTGGGTGCAGGGAAATGTTGTTGACCTTAGGGTCAGATTTACACAAAGTAATTCAAGTAATATTTGAGGGCATACCACGGGTTAAGGACCATGCTGGACATGGGGAATACAGAGCTGAGCAAGAAGGGAAGGGTGCCTGCACCCACAGAGCTCCAGGTCTGTCATGGTGAGGGCCTGGGTCCCGGCCGGCTGCTGTGGGCACTCCCAGTGCCAGTGTCTTAACCTCTGTGAGATTTTAATCACCTTACTTGGGAAGTGGCAAAAATACTTCTGCACTTCCCAGGAGAGTTGATGAGGATCAAATAAGAGGACACCTGTGAAGATGCTTTGTAAACTCACAATGCTAAAGAACCCTGCAGCTGTTACTATCCTTATCTCAAAGACGAAGAAACAGTTCCAGGGGGGTTTAGAGTCTTAAGCAAATTGTTGGTAGAACCTGCACTTGAATTCAGGTTTCTCGTTTCTAGTCCTGTTTTCCTGTCACTGAGCAACATTTTATTAGGGCTTAGGAGGGGTCTCCAGTCAAGAGGACTCATTTGCTCTCTAATTATTAACAAATACTTATGAAACACCCAGTATGTGCAGAGCGTGGATTAGGGATACAAAATGAAGCAGGCAGGAATTTCTGTCATACAAATTCAGTTATTAAAAATACATGCTAAGTGCCCGCAGCACAGTAGACACTATGTTAGGCCCAGGGCACTCATGTAAAAGACATAGACTCTGCCTCCAGGAAACCATTGTCTGCTCCAGCAAATAGACCAGGAAATGGCAATTCAGAGGGGGACTGTCACCTGGCCTGTGGGTGCTGGACAGAGAAGCTTTCTTAGAGGTGATCAAATGTCTTGGTTTGCTCAAGACTGTTCTGGCTTTTGCACTAAAAGTCTAGCATTCCAGGAAACCTCCCAATCCTGGGCAAACAGGGAAGATTGGTTGCCCCATGGAGGAGTGAATAAGTCTGGGAAGATGAGCAGTCATTTGCCAGCTCAGCACAGAGGTAGCTGCCTTAGGTCAGGTATTGTAGAAGCAGAGCCGGAGAGAGGGATTTTCATGCAAGGGAAAGCTCTTGGGAGAAGCTGGGATAGAGGGAAGGAGGCAGGATAGGGAAGAGGAGAAGCTAAGCAGGGATGTGGTCTGATCCCATGGGGAGCTCTGCATGTGAGTGGCACCACAGAGCTCATCCTGCCTCAAGACAAGCGAGGGGGCTTCTGGACGTAGGCCCCCACCCCACCTCTCTGTCACATGGTTGGTATAAGGCATGGGGGGAGATGGAGGAATGCAAGGAGGCCACAGTTAACCCGGGACAGTGCCCCCGAGAAGGTAGCAGGTGGGAAGTGTTCAGGACGGGGCCTGCAGCCAGACAAGGAAAAGGAGCCCTCAGGTCTGGATAGGCAGCAGCAGAGTCTGCTGGAGTAGGGAGAGGGTGCTCATAGAGAGGTCCCAGGGTGAGCTGGAACCAGGCCAGTGTTCAGGTGCCTGCTGTGTCTGGTGCTGTGCTGGGCTCCTGAGCTGTATTCTGTCCATGGGGTGGGGTTGGAGAGAGTCAGGAACTAACCTAACAAGTACATAAACAAGATCACCATTGGCTGTGATGAGGTTCCAAAGGAAAAATTCAGGATGGTGAGCCGGAGAGGAACTGGGGAGGGCAGGGAAGGCTCATGAGCCAGTATCAGGATCAGACAGCATTTCCAAGAGCCCGGGTGGAGTGTGCCAGATGGAGGGGGCAGGACACATGGGGAGCCTGAGGCAGAAAGGGGAGGAACGTGGGAGTGGGAGGGAGTGTGGGAGGGCAGGGCAGCACACAGCAAGCAAGGGGAAAGGCCACTAAAATTCCAGGGTGGGAGAGAGGAAGGTGTGCAAATGTACCTTTTCAATTATGCAATTTTGATTTAAAATTTGTGCAAAGTTACGGAACTGTTTTTATTTCTAGCTAGAAGGGGGAAGTGTGTGGGTCAGGGAAAGTTGCTTAGGGTAGGATGATCCCTACCAGAAGAGGCCAAGCAATTAGAAGTGCAGCTTTCTCTCTGCTCTGGCTTGAGCCGCTGTCCTGTCAGACTGTTGTCTTATCCAGAATCCCACCCCGCCCCCAGACCAAGAGGGCTGGTGTGGAGGACAGGACAAGGGGGAAAGTGGCGGCTGTTTCCTTGGCTGCCCTGACCTCATTCCAGGCTGTGTAGGACCTTGCCCTCCACCTGTCCTAGGCTTTCCTGTATAAATTCTTTGGCTTCAACCTGCGGACCTCAAGGAGTCCAAAACTGGTGAAGACGATGCTCTCTTCCATCCTAGACACTGGCCATGAGGAGCTGCAGGAGAGAGAGGTGAGGCGGGGACAGTCGCAGTTTTAGATGTAGACAACGGGCGAGCGGCTGAAAGCTCAGGCCCGGCAAGTCAGAGCCCCTGGGGTGGAATCTCAGCTCTGCCGCCTACTAGCTGTGTGCCCTTGGGCGGGTACTGAACCTCTCTATGCCTCAGTTTCCTCCTCTGTAAAATGAGGCCATGGTGCCTTCCTCATAGGACGTTTTCTAAAAAGCTTTTTATTTTGAAAGAATTTCACACTTATAGAAAAAAAAGTAAGAAGAATTTCTGTATACCTGTCTCCTAGATTCCCCAAACCTTAGCATTTCCCTATGTTTGCATTATTATTCTCTCTACACATATATACATATTGTTTTCTTTTATGACTCACTTCAGGGAGTTGCAGCCTTGACGCTCATTTACCTCTGTATAGTTCAGTGTGCATTACCTAAAAACACAGATATTCTTTTATATAACCACAGTACAATGATCAAAATCAGGAAATTAACATTGCTACAGTACCATTATCTAATTTACAGTTAGATAAAAAATTGCCAATTGTCCCACCAATATTCTTTAGAGCAAAAGAAAAAAAAAAAAATTTCTGGTCCAGCATCTAATTCAGAACCAATAGTGCATTTAGTTGTCATTTCTCTTCAATCTTCTTTAACCCAGAAGAGTCCCTCAGTCTTTATCTTTCATGACCTTGACACTTTAAAGAAGTACAGACCATTTGTTTTGTAGAAGGTCCCTCCTTTTTGGTCTGTCTCATATTTCCTCACGATTAGATTCATCTTCTGTATTTTTGGCGGTCATACCACAGAAGAGATGTGTGTCACAGGGCAGTGTTGAGAATTAAAGATGTAAAAAGCTTGGAACAGTGCCTGGCTCAGCACTTGCAGGTGTGGGCTGCTGGTGGCGTTGATGTCAGGCCTTCATGCCCCTCTCCTCAGCCCCTCTCTCCAGCAGGGTTCTTAGAGCACCCTCTGTCACTATCATGGCTGGCATCGGTTATTTACTGAGCCAAAGTTGCAGGCAGTATTACTGGGGAGACAAGACATACAGAGGAAGGAAACAGCTACCTACACAGAAGAGCCTTATTAAAGGCTCCATGGGTGGTCATTGAGATGCATAGCTGCTTAGGCTGGTGGGGACTAGCATAGGAGGTCAGGAGGGACGAGTATAGGAGGTCAGGGGGTTTCCCCATGTGACAATAATATTTGGAGCCAAGACTCAAGAGGAAGAACATTTAGGGCATGTCTCGAGAACTGTCAGTGGTCTGATTGGAGTGGAATGCAGAATGCTTTGACAGGGAAGTACAGATGGCCCTCTGCCAGCACTTGGGGCAGACTGGAGGATACAGGGAGGAGGATGTCCAGGCTCGCTCCTGGATTTCTGACATGCTCAGTTGGGAGGAAAATGGTATCTTTCACTGAGAGGAGGAATCCCGAGAAAGGGGAAGATGATGCCTTCCACTTTTGACAGGTGGCTCGGGCCCCCCTGGTGTGGCAGAAGGCAACATCCAGTGGCCATGTAGATCTGGAATTTAGATCTGGGCTGGACATCTAGGTTTGGGAGCCATTATATTTTCCCTGTCTGTAAAGTGGGGATGATACTTGTACCTCACAGCTTCAGTGTGAGGACCCGTGAGCTAACTTGTGCAAGGCTGGCACAAGCTAAGTGCTGACGTGTCTAGGTTGTCGTGATGACGATGCCCTGATGAGTGGAAGCCCATGGCTGAGGGAAGGCCCGAAAAGAAGGGCAGAACAGACCCCTTCTGATGCTCAGCTTGTCCTTGCTTTCTAACGAGGCCACAGCTTCCACTAATACCTCGTCCCTTCTTGAAGATCTGTGTCCTGGGGCAGCTGTTACTGTCCCCGTTCTCCTCCACTCTAACTCCTCTTGCTGCAAAATCTTAATGGTGGCCTCTGCCACAGAAAGGGTAAAAAATTGTCCACCTGGCACCTGCATCTCCGTGTTAGGCGTTCCTTATCGCTGTTCCCAATTGTCCTTGTTGAGTGAGCTCTAGGGAAAGGCTTGGCTGACAGACACTCAAGTCAAAAGAACATGCTGTGAGGTGAAGTTCAAGACTGTCCCTGGCAGAAGTCAGCGAATCCTCAAGATTTCCTTTGCTCTTCCAGTTCCCACTAGGTTGTCAATTCCAAGGCCCACATTTCTAACTTTCAGACCCAGCAGCCACTGGCAACATTTTCACGTGGTGTCATAGCCCTGCGTCACACAACACGTCCAGAACTCTGCCTTCCTCTCTCCCCGGCCCAGACAAGCCCCCTTTCCACCCCCCACTTTGATCAGACTTACTGCTGTCTCCCACTCTCCTAGATCAGAAGCCTTGGCACTGTCAATCCCCCCTCTTCCATCTCCTCTCCTCTCTCTAATTAGCCATCGGTCCTGTCGATAATGTGCCTTGGATTTGTCTTCCCCCTCCAATCGCACCTCAGAACAGCCCTTCTCTGAATTCCTAGTGCATTGAAGTCTTCTTTATGCTATAATGTAGGACTTGACAATCCTGAGATTTTGTAAATCTATGACTAATTTTTCATAATCGGGAATAATTTGCTTTTCAAATTACTTCTTGTAAGGATGTTTGGTTCTCCATCTGGATTTTAAACAGTTCAAGCCCAAGGGACCAGATTTCCCTTCCCTTCTTTTCATCCCCTTTCCTCTTCCTTTCTCTCTCTGCGTCCCTGGCTCTGGTGCTCGGCTCACCCTAAGCTGTGGCATGGGGTTGGGGCTGCCTCTGTTGCAGGGCATTGCCGAGGCGCTCAGTATCGTGTCCCTGAGACACTTGGAGATAGTTCTGGACCAACTGCAAGAATATGGGACTGTACTCACCAACCAGCATGCATCCTCCATCCTCAAGCTGATGAAGGTGACAGCACTCCCGGGGGCTCTGCCGGCAAGCCACACAGAGCTGCCCAAGCATCCCCACCAGCCCAGCCTCCCCACCTCTCTGAGGCCTGTGACTTGTCTATAAAGCCGCCTCTCCCTCTCATCAGCCTCGGGGAAGTTTTGCCCTCCCATCCTTTCCTTCCCTCCCTCATGCCATGCTTCAGGCCCTGCTATCACCAGCCTCCCTCCCCCCAGTAAACCCAGTATTCACCATTCTACAGCCCCACCTCTCCTTCTGGACTTTCTGGGCAACCTTGTCCTCTCTGAGCCTCCATGTCCTCACCAGGCGAGGAGGATGAGCTGAGGGGAAGGCAAGTCTTCCCTTCCCCTACAGGAACATCAGCAGACGGAGTGGAGGCTGGTCTGCAAAACTATCTACTTGAGCTACAGCAAGATCATTTCACGGAACAAGAGAGCCGCCCTCCTGCACGTAGACGCCATCCTGGCCGTGGTGCTGCAGCACTACCACCACTGCATCGTGGAAAAGGTACGCCCCTTGCTCCACCTCGCCAGCACCCCCCGCTTTCTCTCTTCCCCTCTGAGGAAAGGATGCCCAGCCTTGAATGCGGCTCGGGGGTGGGGCTCCTCCAGTGACTTCCTCTCCCACATTCCGATCCACGAATTCTTTAATCCTGCTACTTTAATCCTCGGACTGGCCCAAAGAGAGCACAGTAATTTTAGTTCTGTTGAAAGGTGTCCCCTCCCTGCTGACATGGCCTGTCACACGCGTCTTCACTCTTCTCCTGTGAAGGGAGGAGTGATGGCTCAGTTTCCTACCACACTCATGTGGAGAAGCATTCGGGGGAGACAGAGGGAGCCCCACACAGCTCTCCTGCCTTCGCTATTGGTCCAGACACGTGTCCCTAGGGTAGAGAGAACACACTCTTCCCATTCCCTGTCCGTGTCCCTCTTGGCTGGACGTCCCCAAGGTAGAACTCGCTCAGTGGAAAGACAGTATCTTGAGAGACAAGGAAGCTGGCCCCATCCGAGCTTTGGAGTTATATGAAAGCAGAGCTCCTGAAAGCGGTGGGTCAGGGGCGGGCCTCCCCTCAGGGGTGCCACAGGCTTTCCCTTTCCTTAGCTGCCCTCAGAGGGACGATGCAGGCCTCCATCTAGGGAAAGCTATGGCAGGCTTAGCTCCTCACCCCCAGATGCTAGGTGGGTAGATTTCCCTGGCCCCAGGAGCATCCCTACCCTTGGAGGTCTCTGAGCATACCGATTGGTTCAGGATAAGAACCTGAAGCTGTATTACCTGGACGCCCTGAGCCAGATGACAAGCATCCTGAGCAGCCAGCCTGTGTCCTTGCAAAGCGAGATCCCCAACAAACTAAAACTTATAGCCTTCATGGCGGTAAGTGCCGCTCAGGAGGATGGAGGAGGAGAGGAGCAGGGAGGGAAGATGGCCCCCTGGTAGGGCTCCTAGGCCGGGCCTGGGGGACAGAAGCCCAGACTGTCCAGTTTCCTTTTCTGCCTTAGTTTTCCCTTTCCCATCCTCAGGGTAGGGGTGAGTATGCAAGGCAGGTGTGGTTGGGAATGGGAGAGAGGAGCTGTCCTTCAGAGTCTGGTCACTGGAAGTCTCTGAAGGTCCTAGGTCCCACCTTTGTGTGAGGACAACCTGGGTGGGGAGGAAGGCAAGAAAAAGGAGTTTGCAATCCTCCTGATCCTGGGTGTGCCTGGGCTTGTCACAGGAGCTGATCAGGGAGGAGCCGATGAACGGCATCTCCAGCTCCGTCAGGCAGAAGGCGATGGACATTGTCACCGATGTCAGGTAGTGGCGCCATTTACTCCAGCTGCCTTGCACTGCTTCCCCTCAGCTCCTTACTCCCCAGTCACTCCCCACCTCTCATTTTCTTCTTTGCCTTCTAGTATAAGGGTCCCTAGGCAGTAGCAGACATCTACTGGACAATGTCTGCCTCTCTGCCAAGATTTTTTGGGTGGCATTTTCTGGGCACTGGCAGAGACTGCCTCTCCCAGTGCCACACGTACCTGCTGTCTGCTGTCGCTTCTGCTGCAGGCTTCCTTCTGCTTTCCGGGCTGTCCCTGAATAAACACGTCCACGTCCTCTATTCCCTTAAAATGTCTGGGGAACTAAAAAGTGTTATGTCACCCAAAACATCAGGCACCGTGCTGTAATATTGTGCCCGCTCTCTTTCCCTGAGCTCCTTTCTTTCACTTCTTGGTCCTTTGGCCTCGCTGTCCCTTCCCCTTCCTTGGTGAGTTCTCTTTCCTCTCCATCTCCCTGCCTCTTGCTCCTGCCTGTCCCTCCTCTCCACCCTCTCTCTGTTTACACCTCTGCTTCACCCTGGGTCTTAGGAAGCTCAGGCCCCTCCTGGAGCCAAATGACAGGTCAGAGCTTCTTCAAACATGCTGCAAGAGTGTGCTCTGCCTGCCACCCTCAGATGTCCTGCAGAAGGAAGCAGCCAGCCCCAAGGAGGGCCAGGCCAACATGGTAAGGAACTCTTGGTCAGTTGTCTCTTTGTTTTTATTTTTTATTTTTGAGTAAGTGAGAAGTATAGGCTGACAGTTTTGTGTAAGGATTGTCCACCTCCTTTAATAAAAGTGACATCCCTGGAAGGAGGAGGACCTACTGTGGGGAAGGACCTGTTGCCCGGGCAGTCTGAGCTCTGCCCAGGATGAGCACAGCTCAGGGAGTGGGAAACAGAGGGTCCAGGGGGAAGCCGTGTTGTCAGGGGACTCCCAGTCCAGTAGGACAAACCGCACACCAGGCAGACATTTGTGTTCATGCAAAAACAGCAGAGGGATTCATTCAAGTTGGAAGCAGGCCAGTGGCACCTGGAAATGTAGGGGAAAACGTGCGGGGCAGGATTTAGCAAGGTGGGCTTCCCGGGAGTCAGGTTGCTGAGCAGAGTGTAGCAGGAGGGGTGGGCTGAAGTCTCCGCAACACTGTGGGTCCCTCTGCCCTCCCCAGGAGCTGTTCAGGGAGACCATGCATTCTCTCCGAAGGCTCATGGAAGCATTTATCACTGAGAAGCCCGATTGGATCCAGTACTGCTTGCAGGTCAGTGGGAAGGAAGCCTTGAAAGTTGGTGCATTGGTTTCTCAGGGCTCCTGTGACAAGGTACGACAACCATCCAGCTTGAAACAACAGAAATTTTTTCTCTCACAGTTGTGAAGGCTAGATCCAAAATCCAGGCATTGGCAGTGTTGGTTCCTACTGGAGGCTCTGAGGGAGAGTCTGTTCCATGGCTCTCTCCTGGCTTCTGGTTGTTCCTGGCAACCCTTGGCATTCTGTACCTTGTAGACATGTCGCTCCAATCTCTGCCTCCATTTTCACATGGCATATTCTCCTGTGGTGGGGGGTGGCGGTTCTCTTTTTTTATTTTATTTTATTTTATTTTACTTCTCAATATACATTGTAGTTGATTTTCATGCCCCTTTACCCATTCCTCTCCACCCACTCCCCTCCTGGTGTTCTCTTATTAATAAGGACAGTGGTCATTGTCACTGTAATCCAATATGAATGCACCTTAACATGATTTCACCTGTAAAGACCCTATTTCCAAACAAGGTCACATTCTGAGGTTCTGGGTGGGCATGAATTTTGTCATCTCAGTAGAGTTGGTAATAGAATGGATGGGGAACAGGATGAGAGGTGGAACTGAAGATGAAGGCCGGGTGCAGAGCTTTGAGGGAAGGGTGATCCGTGCTAGGATCCAAACAACATTGGTCTTTCCTTTGGAGGAGAAATTTTCCCTCTTCCTTCTTCCTTTTTTGCATTGCTACAGTCACCTTGCCTCTCAGCTCCTGCCTGCTGCTCTGCGGCTGTTAGAGGTTACAGGCACGGGCTGTGCACTTCCACACACGGCAGTTCCAGATCCTGGTTCTGTTGTCAGCAGTGCGTGTGTCCTTGAGGATTCATTTAACTTCTCTGCCTCAGTCTACCCAGGGAAAATGGATGACAACAGCATCTAATTCATATGGTCATTTTGATAACTGAGATAATGTTTATGAAGGGCTTGGCTCAGAGGAGTAAATTGCAGGCTCAGGCAATTTGCTCATTTTTAAATTGGGTTGTCTGTCTTTTTTATCGATTTGACTTACTTTATGCTAATGCCCATGTGATACTTTGGCCTTCCCTTGAATATACCATTCCCTAATTGTCACATGAAGTTTAAGATTTCTTTGCAATTATTTTTGTTATCAAAATATAGATCTCTGGGCCGGCCCGTGGCTCATTCAGGATAGTGCAGTGCTGATAACACCAAGGCCATGGGTTCTGATCCTATATAGGGATGGCCGGTTGGCTCACTGGCTGAGCGTGGTGCTGACAACACCAAGCCAAGGGTTGAGATTCTCTTACCGGTCATCTATTAAAAAAATATGTATAGATAGATCTCTAAGGAGTACGGTCAGAGTGTTTTGTTCAAAACTTACTCAAAGGGCTGGCCAGTTAGCTCCGTTGGTTAGAGTGTGGTGTTAAAACACCAAGGTCAAGGTCAAGGGGTCAAGGCCCCTCACCTGCCAGCCACCAAAACCGAAAATAAAAACAAAAGCAAAACTTACTTGAGATAATTATTTTCTGTGTGGTTATGGTATCAAATCGATATAATTTAGATTTATTTGTCTTGAATTTCAGGGTTTCTGTTCTTTTTATTTAATTGAAGATTTTGATTATGTAAAGACTTACGTTATTAAAAACTTAAAACTAAAGTTTTACTCAGAGAGGTCTTGGTTCCATCCCTATCCTCTAACCTCATTCCCATTCACCCCCCAGAGATAACTGTTTTCATTAGCTTCTGAGTTGTCCTTCCTGTTTTTACTGTAAGAAGCAAATAGCATTAGTGGTGCGTTCTCACTTCCCATTCTTTCTCACACAGTAGGTGGTGCATTCTCTCCAGTGCTCTGAATCTGCCTTTTTTACTTATCCACATCAGTTCACAGATATATTCCTTACTTTTGTTTATGGTTGCACACATTGTGTGGTTGTACTATAGTTTATTCAGTCAGCCGCCTATGGATGGACATTGGGCTGTTTCTGATCTTGTTGCTGCTAGTTTTCTTCTTAACTTTTTTTTGAAATGATTGTACATTCACAGGGAGTTGTGAGAATTATGCATAGAATCCCTTGAATGCTTCTCCCAGCTTCCCCTCATGGTGGCATCGTTTTTTTTCTTATCTCAGCACGATATGCAAATGATACCTCGGATAACAGTAGTACACAATCAAAATGAGGGAATCGACATTGGTGCAGTATTGTTAGACTGCAGACCTTATTCAGTTTTCACAGGTTTTACAAGCACTCATTTGTGTGTGTGTGTGTGTGTGTGTGTGTGTGTGTGTGTTCCATGCAATTTGATCTCATATTTGTGTAGATCTCTTTCTGGACTCTGAATTCCCTTCCACTGATCTCTGTCTAGTATAACTCCTCCAACTTAATTCTTCTTTATACCTTTACATTTGCATCTAAATTTTAGAATCAGTTTGTCTACATCTACAAAATAATCCTGTGCTGGGATTTTTGATGAAGTTGCATTAAATGTATAGACCAATTTGGGAAGAATTGAAATCTTTACTATGTTAAGTCTCCCAATCCATGAGCATATTATATCTCTTCATTTATTTAGATCTTCTTTGATTTTGTTCCCAGCATTTTGTAGTTTTCAGCATACAGATCCTGTATATACCTAAGAATTTCATTATTCAGAGATATTGTAAATGCAATTACTTAAAAATTTTTGGTTTTTAGTTATTCATTGTTAGCAAAGAGAAATTCAGTTGAGTTTTGTGTGCTGAGTTTATATTAAACTTCTAGGGCTTTTTTCTGGTGTGTATGTGTGTGTGTGTGTGTGTGTGTGTGTGTGTGTGTGTGTATTCCTTGGAATTTTCTATGTAGAAATCATCTTGTTTGTGAAAAGGAATGATTTCTTCCTTTCTATTCTTACAGCTTTTATTTTATTTTCATGCCTTATTGCATTGGCTAAAACTTCCAGTACACTGGTGAATAGGAGTGATGAGAGTGGATATCCTTGTCTTGTTCCCATTCCTAGGAGAAAGGCATTCAGTCTTTCACCACTAAATATGATATTTGCTGTTGGCTTTTTGTAGGTGCCATTTATTAGGTTAGGAGGTTTGCATCTATTTCTAGTTTGCTGAGAATCTATAATATGAATATATGTTGAATTCCATAAAATGCTTTTTATGCCTCAATTAATATGATTTTATTCTTTAGACTATTAATATGTCAGATTACACTGATTAATTTTTAAGTATTGAAGCAGTCTTGCATTCCCAGAATAAAGCCTACTTGGTCATGGTATGTTATTCTTTTTGTATGTTGCTGGATTTGATTTGCTAGTATTTTGTTGAGGATTTTTGTGTCTATGTTCATGAGGGATATTGATTTGTAGCTTTCCTTTTTGTGCTTTCTCTGATTTTGGTATCAGGTTAATTCTGGCTTCATAAAATGAGTTGAGAAGTATTCCCTCCTCTTCTATCTCATGGAAGAGGCTGAGAAAAATGATGTATTTTAAGTGTTTGGTAGAATTCACTGGTAAACCATTTTGCACTGGAGATATCTTTTTTGAAGGGTTTTCAATTACTAATTTATAGGAGTAGTCAGGCCATCTGTTTTATCCTGGCTGAATTTGGACAGTTTGTGGTTTTTGAAAACTTAGTCTATTTCATCTGTTGAATTTATGTGAGTACAGTTGTTTGTTTTATTCTCTTATTATGCTCTGACTGTTTACACAAACTCTTTTTCATTCCTAAAATTTGTCTTTTCTTTTTTTTCTTTGTCAGTTTTGCTAGAGGTTTATCAATTTTGTTGCTCTTTTCTAAGAACAAACTTTTTATTTTGTTTTTCTCTATTTATTGTGCTCATATTTTCCTTTAGGTTTTCTGTTTTTCGTTTCATTGTTTTCTGCTATTATCTGTAGTATTTTCTTCCTTTTGATTGCTTTGGATTCATTTTACTCTTTTTCTAGTTTTTTTTTTTAAGGTAGAAACAGATGATTGATTTGAGACCTTTCTCCTTTTCTAATATAAACATTTAGTGCTATAAATTTTCCTCTAAGCACTGTGTTAGCTGCATCTATCCATTTTGATATATGTTGTATTTTCATTTTCATTCAATTCGAAGTATTTTATTATTTCTCTTGAGACTTCGTCTTTGACATATGGGTTGTATAGAAGTGAGTTAATTTCCAAGTGTTTGGAGATTTTTCTGTTATGTTTTGTTACTGGTTTCTAGTCTAATTCCATTATGATCAGGGAACATATTTTATATAATTTCAATTCTTTTAAATTTATTGGGATTTTGTTTTATGAAGTGAGATATGGCCTATCTTGGTGAATGTTCCATGTGCACTTGAACAGAATGTATATTCTGCTGTTTGTTTAGCTGCATCATTGTGAGGTTGTTTGCTATAGGTTGGTGCAGCAGTGCATATTTGGATTGGTGGTATTTTGGGCCTTTGATTTACTAATGGTGAGACACTTATGCATTATGTTTCAAATAGGAATCATCCATAACTATACTTTTCAAACAAACATATATAACTCACCTTTGAATTTGTGAATACAGTGTTACTTCTTTGTTATTATCAAGTTCTTTTTTCTACTGAAGAATGGTAAGAGGTGGATAGGGGACTGTGGGGGGATGTTGACCTATTGAAGTGAGCCAAGGTCAGTATAATTTGAGAGTCACTGCTCTAACCTGAAAGAAAGAGGCAGTAATGGGGAGATGTCTTACACCTAGATAAGGGGACAGTTGGGGGCTGGGCAAGTGAAGGCTCTGGTGCCAGACCCACACATCATCTATCTCTAAGTGAAACAAGTCCTGCTATCAGAAGTATGGCCCTGATGCTTTGCAGAAGCAAGCCTCAAGGTTTCCTTTCTCCCCCAGGGATGCAGCTAATCAGTCCTCTCCTTTCATTCTCTTCTCTCTCCAGCTTCTAGACATATGGCTGAATTCCCAGAAGGATAATGAGCGGGAACGGGCCATGTGGTGTGCTGCCCGTGTCCTTGGCTTTACTGCAAAAATGAATAACTTCAATGTGAGTGAGCACCTGCCCTGGAGCCTAGGCCCTGGTGCCTTATCCCTACCTTTATCCCTACCTTTATCTGGTCAGCCTTATCCCTACCTTTATCCCAAGCTTCATCACACATGTCATCTAGCCTCAGTCACTCAGCCTCATACCCCACCTCCCTGGTCCCATCCTCTTTTTTCTCTGTGCATCCCATCTTATTCTCTCCTTACTCCCCCCTCCCTCCCAGCACCCAACGTCTTCTGCTTGGTTTTTTCTTCTCCACCAATTCAGTTCCATTCCACTTGGTTCAGTCCCCATTCATCTCAATAAGTAGTTACTGAATACTCGCCTTGGGCCAGGTACTGTGCCAGGTGTTATAGTGGATACATAGGTGACCAAGATGGATCTTACAGTCCACTGGGAGAGAGAGGCAAGCATAGAACAAACTGAAATAGAAGGTGAGGATGAACATACAAAGCAAACGTGGTGAGAATAAAATACCGAAACAAATGATGGCAAGTGAGGAGATCAGGGAAAGCTTCACAGAAGAGGAAGCATTTGAGTGAGCCTTGCAGGATGAGCAGGGGGTCAGCAGCCAAACAAGGGAAAGACTGTAATAAGGTCATTCCAAAACTATGATCCTGTGTGTTCTCTCCAGCCCCAACCCACCTGTCAAATTCTGTTCCTGTTAACCTCACCTTGTCTCACCTCTCAAGTCCTGGTGCATGTATCCCTTCCTTCTAGTTCTTTCCCTGAGGAGTGGCTGGGACAGCTTGTGAATTCCAACTGTCCTCCCCAGGTGGAGATTCAGTTCACCCATCTGGGGCGCCTGGTGAGGATGCTGGCCATGCGCTGCCAGGACACGGTGGACAACGTCTGCTTCTTGTCTGCACACGCAGTCTACAACCTCTACTGCATCCTCCTGCTGCAAAAGCGTATGGAGATCCTCCTCTCGTCACTCCCCCCCAGCTTCCCATTCACTTAGTCACCCCCACATGCTCCTGTACCTCATTTTCCTTTGAGGAACCTGCCCCCAAGCACTACAGATACCTTCTTGGGACAAAGCACCTGTTCAGGAAACAGTTCTTTTGAGTTGGTTTCTCCCTACCTGGCTGAATCTCATTCTACCAATTCTGTCTCTGCTCTGAAGCAGGCAAAATGGGGGTTCCTTTGACATTAGTTCTCAGCATCCTTATTCATGTTCATTCCTCTACTCCCAGCCCCGTGGGATGTACATTCCCCCAAACTTGCTTAATTCAGTAGATGTTTTGGGCCAGGCCAGGGTCCCTGAAAGGTGGGAAAGGGGAACCTAAGAAGTGTGCTGGATATCTGAGGGGTGGGATGGGTGTGTTTGTTTCAGAGATGACAAGGAAAAAGCAAGGCTTGTGGGAAGAAGAGGGCAAGAGTAAGGTCTATAGCGCCAACATGTTCTACAACAACACCCTTGAGATCGCCAAAGTGAGGAGGCGGGGCCAGAGACAAAGTGGGGAGGGCCGGGCCCCTCGGTTACATAAGATTAGAGACCTCCTGGGTGGGACTCTTTTATCCTAGGCTGCCTTCCCTCTCCGTTACTGGATGTGACATTTTTCTTTGAGGGAAGTGTTCCTATGACATGTAAGTCACAGTCCAGGGAGCTCCCACATGCTCTCCCTTGAGCATCATGGGTCCTAATCTTTCTTTATTGCCCATCCCCCCAGAAGCATTTGTTTCTTGCTTATGATACTTTATGAGCAATGTGTAGACCCAACTCATGCCTCAAATAGATGTCACTAAGGATCTCAGTCCCAGCCCCTCTCCCATGGCTCCGCCCCTGCAGCCTCTCACCTCTGAGCCCTGTATTGCTCCTGAGGTCAGTGTTTCAAAGGCTCTGACCCAGTGAAAGTGCTCTCTAAGAGCTAGGCAGAAAGCACAGGCTGAGGACAAAAGTGCATCTTGCTCTCAAGAGGGGCTCTCCCCATCCCCCAACCAGGAAGGACAGCCCAGGCCATCTCAGGCAGGGAGCCTGGGTGTGTCCAGACTGATTCCCCATTGCAGGCATTCGCAGAGTATTTCACCCAGCTCCAGCTCACCAACCTGGTGCTGACAGCCATAGAGGGCCTGACCCACAGCAAGGCCAAGGTGTCTCTGGCTGCTGCCCAGCTGATGAGTGCTGTCATGAGAGAACGGGGCAGAGACATGATAAAGGTAGAGTGCACTGTGGCAAGAGCTCCGCCCTGCAGAACAGGGGACCTGGCTCTCCCCCGGCTCTATTGCTGACTGGCTGGGGGTCCTGGGCCTAGGCAAGTTCCTTTTCCTCTGTTGGCATCGATTTACTCACCTATAAAATGTAGGCTTGGACTAGATTTTCTCTGTGGTCCCACTGGGCTGTGACATTTGTAATCCTGAGCTCATAGCTGCCTCCTATCTTGGGTGCCATTTCCTCAGTTAATGAGATCCATGTGCAGGGTTGTAGGCAGCTGGAGGACTTAAGAGCCAGAGCACAAGGAAGCTGCGTGGGAGGGTTCATCCTGGTTCCCTGGGGTGTCAGGGGGCTTAGACTGTGGGTTGTAAACCGGCAAGCTTATGGGATGTCTCTGACCTTTGAATACCTTTTTGTTTTTTAGGCTAACATGTAAAAATGGGAAGATTTTGTATAAAAATCTGCATTTCCCACTTTGTTGAAAAAACTTTACAATGGGGTCACATACAGCAACTCTCTGAGTGGCCACTGTCCCTCTTATATGGGGCATCGACTCTCTCAGACCCTCCTGCTCTCTATGAATCCCCTTCACTCACTACGTGACCAGCCTGGCCTATGTACCAGAAATGGAAGGACACCTCTGAGGGTGTCTTTGAACTATGGCACTGAAACGGGCTTCCCAAAGGCCGTGTATTAGGGATTTGTGGGCCAGGGCAGAGCCTGTGGTCCCCCCACCTCCAATGCCAGCTGCCCCTACAGTTTAGTGGGTTGAAAGCTGATTCCAGCTGGGAGGGGAAGCCCTGAAGTGTCTCTGGGGCTTTTGCCTTCCCTCCCAGAGGGTCCTGTAGCTCCAGAGTAATCTAGGAACTCCTCTATGGACTCCAGGGGTGTGGGCAGGCGTTTGCTACAGTGGGCCTTGGCACCAGCTTCTGGAGTTCCTTCTGTGGCCCCTGCTGGTTTGGCCTCTGGCACCCCAGAGCTTGGCCTTGAGAAGGGCTCCACTGGCAGGTTACAATTCGGCCCTTTGATCTGGGGAGCTGGTAGAGGAGAAGGGTGGAAAGGAAGCACGGGAGGAGTCACAGAGGCTTCTTCTGGCTCTGCCCTGTAGATTGAGGAGGTTGTGGAGGGCATCCTTGAGCGGCTCAACTTGCAGCTGGAGCCCAGCACGAAGGAGGAGACCCTGCAGGCCATGTGCTCACTAGCAGGCAGCAACACCCACACCGTGGTGCCCCTGCTGCTCAGCAAGCCCCTGCCCTGGGACAGGTACCTCTCCCATGGCCCAGGGGCACATCTGCAGCCCAGTCCACCTCCGCCCTCTGCCCAGCCCCAGCCCAGGGTAAAAATCACTACGCAAGGATGCTCTCTCTTTCCCTATCTTCTTTTGATCCTAGTCAAGCCTCATCTCCGTGTTCTTTGGCCAATTCCTCTTTGGGCTCACTCCCTCTAGCCCCCAAGAACTGGCTCTTCATGGGCCTGAGACCAAACTAGTCCTAGGAGCATAGTCACCAGGGCCCACAACGTAGCTGTGCCTGGGTCCTGCAGAACCAATCTGGCCCTGTGGAAGACATTTGGCACCCATCGAGAGACTACAATCAACGTCCTGCAGCTGCTCATTGTCATCCTGGAAAAGAACCAGTCCAGAGAGGAAACCGGGGAGATGGCCTTCCGGCCTGTGGCGGTCAGAGCCAGGGAGGAGAGGAGGCCTGGGATTTAGGTTCTGGGAGGTTGGGGCAGAGCTAAAGATCAAAGGGCTTGACCTGAGAGGTCCAGCAGGTATTGGGGAGGGGTACAGAGGAGAGGGCCAACAATGGAATTGTTAATACTATATATCAGATTAACACTTTAACCTTTTTTTTGTATTTTTATATCTAATAACTACATGATGGAGAAACGGCAGGGATTAACAAGGAGATCGATATGCAGAACTAATTAGCTTTTGTATCTCCTAATTCCGGAGCTAGCATCATTTTACTGGAGACCTGGGGGTGTGGCACGGGGGATGAGAGAGGAGGAGATTTGGGTGCCTGGAACTGAGGTGGACAAAACATGCCAGAAATCATTTTCTGCTGCAAATGTAGAGTCAGTTCCCTTTTCATTTCTAATGTCAAGTGAACAGAAGGGAACGCAGGTGGCATGAATGTGGCCCTCGTTTCCTTAGGGATGAGGTGTGGGTTCTCAGACCATGGATGTTTCTTACAAGGCTGAGTCAGAGTGAGCTGTGCCCACTGGGCAATGGAAGGGAGGGACAGGTTGGGATTCCCACCAAGGCTTTCATGTGAAGGGTCATGGCCCAGGACTGGTCCATTCTGTGTCCCTCCTCACCAGGTGACTTGTGCCTTGTGTGAGATGCTGTCAGGACCCCTGTGCCAGGAGGCTGTCCAGGAACTCTACCCACGGCTGTTGGTGGCTGTGCTGTGCCATCTCTACTGGGTGATTGAGCAGAACGTGCCCCAGAAGATGGTGGTATACAGCAAGGAGGAGATCCCTGGCAGCAAGAGCAAGACCTTTGACCCCACTAGGTAAGACCCACCTCCAGGTGATGGAGAAGTGGAACCAGCAATCCTGAGAGTCCTGGACAACTGGATGCTGATCCTCTAGGGAGATCAGCAAGCGAGGGAAGAGTAGAAGCGGGCACATAGAACGTGGCGTGGGTGCTGCCCCACCGTGCACTAGAGTGGTGTCACAGACTGTCAGTTTCTCATCAGTCTTCTTACTGTATGCACTCTTCCACCGATCCACACAATGCAACGGCTCATGTTCAGGCTCATGATTCCATGCATGAAGAGATTCAATTAGATGGTAAATGACAGACGCAAGACTGTGTCATTCTCTCCATGCAATTTTGGCCATTTGAATCAGTCTGGTTGGCCTCTGGCTTGGCTTCGTCACTAGATGTGTCATCTTGTACAGTCGCTGGAATTCAAGGTTAGGGGTTAGGGGTTGGGGGTTAGAGTTAGGTAAAACAGGGGTTGGACTCCTAAATAAGTGGTTGCCATACTTTCTTTTTTTATCTCAAGACATTTTATTCAAATGAAATCCTATATGGAAATGAAAACAAATAAAACCAGTAAGGCAGAGACATTCTGATTAAGTGGGCGTGAAGGTGAAGAGAGAGATCCTAATCCTCCTTCTGTGCCCTGGACAACAGGATTTAAAAACCACAGCCCTAGAATATCTCTGTAGTCTCTTTTGCAGGACTCTGTGGTTGGAAGAGGGTCAGGGTTGCAGGGGTTGGGTAGATGGGCAGCTGGAGATGGGTTCCACAGAGCCATGAACTGTTGTCAGCAGGAAAGCAGAACCTAGCTACCAGAGCTGAGAACTGTCTCCTGCTCACCGGCATGGGGTGCGAACCAGGGTGTAACGCCCTGTCCATCCTTTGTCCCTTTCTTTTCACAAACCCAATGGCTGTCGGCTTCAGCTGTGCCCTGGAGGTGGTGAAGTTGGTGCTCCTGGCAGCTGCATATGATGGAGTGGTGGTCTATGCCAACAAGCATCACTGCTGGGACCTTCTGTCCAGCCCCAAATCTTACTACATAGGGATCATGGACCTGGCAAGGTGGGACCATTTCCCCAGTACTGCTGGCCCCAATCTCCCAGGTCCCAGCACTCAACTATGGTAGCCGTCAACCCTCCCTTCCCCATCTCCCAGCTCTCTGGCTTCCTGAGTCCTCAGCCCTCATGTCTTTCCTGTTCTGTGTACATTGGTCCTGGGCCACATCCCCCAGAAACTTCTTGCTTCCTGTGTCCCATCTCAGTGGCATTGTGAAGAACTGTGAGCCCTCCATTCTGCACCGGATCCTGAACCATGTCAGGAACCTGCTCTACAACGTGAACATTCGTCAGAGGATCCTGGCCAGGACCTTCTATGTGCAGGTGAGAGGTGGGAAGAGCTGACAGCTCCAGCCATCCATTTCCTGGAGCTGAGGAACTGACTATTGAATGGAATGTTAAACAATGTGCTCCAGAATGGAGAAAGGGATAGAACCAAGCCATTTACAATGGGTTTACCTTCCTTGGAACTTCAGGGTCCTGGATAAAGGAGCCAGGAAAAGCCTGGGAAGGGCGTGGCAGTTCTACTCCTCCCAGAATGACCCAGGGACCCCAGCATCTGGCTCAAATTCAAGCCTTATCAGCATTATCTCCCAATCCCTTATCCTTGGTCTCCACCCCATGTGTGCAGACCTGCCACTGCTGTCAACTGGACACAGTCCTTCCCAAGTATGGGGCCTGAGGGAGGGCTGGGGAGTACGGGGTACCCATGACCTTTTCTCCGTCCATGGCTGTTGTCTCCTTACCCCCACAGCTCCTCTGGCACCGGTCAGTGGCGCAGACCCTGGGGCACGACTTTCTGGGCAATATAATTAGGTGGATCAAGGAGCCTGACCTCATTATGAAGGAAATTGGTCTCCGAGGAATCAGTAACCTGGCAGTGCACCCAATGCATGTAAGAGGGGGGAGGGCCAAATGGGATCAAGTGTTGGTCCCAGAAGCATCTGATTCCCCTTCCCTGGGGCTCTCAGTTGCTCAGGCCTTAAGCTATTCACCAAGCCTCACCCCAGGGCGTCACAATCCCCAGAGGGAAGACTTACGTGGACTTGTCCACAGCTGCCTGGACTTGTCCCCCAGCCTTCCGTTTCCTTGGCATGTCCAGTTGTCTGTCTGTTGTGGGCACCATCTCTTTTCTCCAAACCCTGTCCCCAGAGTGCTGCATGGTCCCCAGGGCAGTGAGTGATCTCTGCCTTCTTCTAAATAGACCGAGGCTCTTAAGAGCCTTGTTCCGCTCCTGAGAGGCTTCCTGAAGAATGAGGCACGGGTAACAGTGCAGGCAGTGAAAAGCCTGAGGAACATCATCTACCATGGGCAGGAAGAGGACACCAAGGTGGTCTTTTGCAGCATCTCCAAGCAACTGCGTCCACTCATCAACGATGTATGGGCCTGCATCGCTGGGACTGGTTGGGAGCAGTGTGGAACCCTGGACACCGAACTGAGGGGGTTGGGTTAGGGCTCAGGGTCCATGGTGGAAGGCTGAAATAACCAAGGGGCAGAAGAAAGGAGACTTGGCTGCTTGAAGCAGTGCATAGGATGTGTCCCAAATGCATTTCCTGTTATGTACAGATGTAGCACACTGTATTAGTCCGTTTTTGTTGCTTATAGCACAGTACACTGAACTGGGTGATTTATAAAGAAAATGAAATTTATTGATTACAGTTTCTGAGGCTGGGAAGTCCAAAGTCCATCTGGTGGTGGTGACAGTGACCCAGGGGTCTCACATTACAAGGTGGTGAAAGCAGAGAGAGCAAAGAGAGAGAGCAAGGCAGACTCTCCTCTTCCTTTAAAGCCCTCAGAAGCACGCCCCTGACCACCATTTTTAATTCTTTCTCTACTGCAGGGTCCTACAATTCAATCATCTCTTCAAGACCCCACCTTCCAATTACCATAATAGGATTTCCCACCCTGTTAACAGTCACAGTGGGGGCTAAGATTCTAAATCATAAACTTGGGGGACACAATTCAAGCTTCAGTGAGTTTGGGGGGACATAATTCAGTCTACTACCCACACATTCATGTACTTACTTTCTAACTGGAAGTTCCCTAAAGAAGCCATTGGACCAAAAATACAGAGGTAGCATACTGATAGGAAATCAGTTCCAACTCCAAGGGTTCCCTGGCAGACTGTACTCATGGAGTGAAGAGTGGGGAGAGAACTAATGACTCTGCCCTAATCCCAAACAATACAGGGACCTTAGAACGCTAGGATCCTTGTGGCAGGAGAAATTTGAGAGTCAGAAACTTGAACTTACCAGACCTACACCAACCCTGCCCACATCTCATCCTCTGTGTGAGATCTGTAGATTATGGAATTTAGAGCTGGAAGGGACTTGACGTCCCTGAGACGCTTGCTTATAGCACTCTTGCTCTGGCATTTATCACTTTTCCAACTTGTGAGCCTTGGATTTGAATTATTTTTGTATTGGTCTCATCTCCTCTATGACCCTGGACATTCCGTAATGACAAGGTTGTTGTCTGACCACCTACCTTTCAGTCACTTTTGAAATTCAGCACGTAGATTTGACTTAAAGCCTGAAGATAGTCTTTTCCCTTCATCCAAGCAACGTAAGGACCTTAGAATGCTTTAATTCTGACCACACCCTCCCGTGTTACAGATTCATGTTGTCTAGTATTTTAGTTCTACCTTCTTTTAAATGTCCAAATTTGGGGCTGGCCCGGTGGCGTGCTGCTGCAGTGCGCTGCTTGGGAGTGCAGTGGCGCTCCCGCCGAGGGTTTGGATCCCACATACAGACCGGTTCCCGCTCACTGGCTGAGCGAGGTGCGGGCGCAGTACCGAGGGTTGCGATCCCGTTGCCGGTCCCAGTCCGGTGTGGGCGCGACACTGAGGGTTGCGATCCGTTGCCGGACATGAAAAAAGACAAAAAGGAAAAAAAAAATAAATGTCCAAATTTGGTCTTTATATTGTCATCATCATGATTGTTATTATTTCTTACAGTCAATACTTATTTAGATTAGCCCATCCATTTACAACTTTCTTTGCTCACCTTTCTTTCTTGCAGCTCTTTCCTCCCTTCCAGATTCACTTTTTCCTTCTTTTATGGTTCCTTCAGTGAGGGTCTGTTAGTAGTAAACTTTTTCAGTCTTTAGTTGTCAGCAGTTTATGATGTCTCCAGGCATACATTTCTTTGGTTTCTCCCTATTTGGGGTTCACTGAGCTTCTTGAATTTCTAAATTTGTATCTTGCACCAAACTTGGAAAGTTTTCAGCTATTATTTCTTCAAAATTTCTCTCAGCTCTGTACTCCTTCTCTTCTTCTAGGACTCTGATGACAAATGTTAGGCCTTTTCATTGTCTCGTAGATCACAAGATTCTTTGTGCTTTTCGTCATTTTTCTCTTGGTTCAGATTGGATAATTTTTATTGATCTGTCTTTGAGTTCACTGATCCTTTTCTTTGACATCTCCATTTTGCCCTGAAACCTACCCAATTTTATATTTCTCAGTTCTAAAATTTTCCACAGCTATTCTTTATATCTTCTGTTTCTTTGCGGAGGCTTTCTGCTTCTGTGTTAATTTCAAGAGGGTTCACCACTGCTTTTTATAAAATAACTGCTTTAAAGTTTTTTTTTTTTTTTTTTTTAAAAAGATGACCGGTAAGGGGATCTTAACCCTTGGCTTGGTGATGTCTGCACCACGCTCAGCCAGTGAGCTAACCGGCCATCCCTATATGGGATCCGAACCCGTGGCCTTGGTGTTATCAGCACCTCACTCTCCCGAGTGAGCCACGGGCCGGCCCTGCTTTAAAGTTTTTATCAGATAATTCTAACATCTGTTTTCTCTTGATTTTAGCATACTCACTGTCTTTTTCCATGTGAGTTGGGATTTTCCTGGTTTCTTGCATGCTGAATAATTTTATTGTATCGTGGACATTATGAATACTGTGTGACACTGAGTCTTCTATGGTAGAGTGCTGAAACTTTTGTTTTGCAGGTAATTGACTGTGAATTCTGACTAGCTTTCTGTGGGCTGTGATTCCAATCTCAGTTCTGAGTTCAAAGCCTTTGCTATTCTGAGTTTGTGCCACTGGTGGCCAGTCTGGGACCTGGATGGTGGTCTATTCTGTAGCTCAGTTCTCAAAGTCTATGGTATGCTATTGAAGGTCAGATCTATGCATGCAGTGAGCTCAGGAGTTCTTAAACAACTTTATAGGATCCTTCTCTGCAACCTCCCTGGTACTTAACAGTTCCCTGGAGCTCCCTTTTTCCAGTCCTCTGGCCAGAAAGCTGGGGCTTTAGTTACCCTACCATGCCAGGCACTTCAGTGACTGTACCCACATCTGGTGCTAAGTGGCAGGAGGGCAGAGAAGAAATAAAGGAACAGAGGTTTTCCTCATCCTCTGGGGACCACAGCACCACCGAATGGAGAGTAAGGTTCCCCTCCTTCAGAGTTTTGGCTCTTACAGGCTCCCATTGGGCCTGCCTGAGGGCTGCAGCATGAAAGACTGGAGAGAAGAAAAAGAGATGAAGGGTTTCATCGTTCTTTTTGAGAATTTTGAGTTCCTTTTCTGGCTCCTTGAGTGTTAACTAAAGCATTCTCTTGGAGCTCTCTGTGTGCCAGTGCTTACCTCTTGGTTTTTGGTTGCCTTGCCTGCAGGCTGGGATCCCTGCAGATATTAAAGCCCATCCTTTAGGTTATGGACACCAGTAGTCCTCCCCACAGGGAAGATGAAGTATCAGCACCCTCGTCGTTTCTGGCCCCTGGGAATTTCCACCGCTTTCCTGAAAGCTCAGCTATGCATTTTAAAAAAATACTGTTTTTTTTTTTTTTTCTGTATATTTTATCTAGTATTTAAAGTTGTTTGGAGTGGAAAGGTTGTTATCTTCCATATTTCTGGATTTGGAAGTCAGGATTTAGAGTCTAATCAAGAAATATTAAATCTCTGTCATCTACACAGGGCAACCTGCTGAAATGGGGAAAGTACAACCCAGGGTCCTAAGGTCTGGGTGCCAAGTGCTGCTCTACCGCTCACCCAGTCCTGTGGGCTGAGGCAACCCACTGAGGCACAGCTCCCCAATTTATCATCTGTAAAATTTTCTTCTGTTATTTTGTTTAGAATGTTCTCTTTTCTCTTCTTTCTGTTCTATTCTTTGGAACTTCTTTGGATTCATTCTCCATGTTTCTTCATTTTTCTTTTATATTTCCTATCTCTTTGTCCACTTTGGAAGAATTCCTGGGCTGACTCTCCTCTTACAAATTCACTCTTTAGCTGTGATTACTCTGCTATTCAACCCATCTATTGAATTTTTATATAATTAAAAAAAAATGAAACAGGTGCTCTTTTTCCCTTCTTCTAGTCAGCAGAGTGATATCTCAATACCTATTACATTGTTGTGTAACATTTAATACATTATGAGGATGTTGCCTTACCTTTGCCTGTGTTTACTTATAGTTTCAAAGTTCAAATTTCTAAGCACTTTGAAAAATGAACTCAATATCTTTTTTAAGAAACCTTTGTGAGGATTCAATTATACTTTGATCTAAGGTTTTGTTCAGATGGTGTATTAGCCCATTTTGTGTTGCTATAACAGAATACTCGGAACTGGGTGATTTATAAAGAAAATGCAGTTTATCTGCTTACAGTTTCTGAGGATGAGAAGTCCAAAGTCCATCTGGTGTTGGCAACAGTGACCCAGGGGTCTCACATTGCAAGGTGGTGGAAGCAGAGAGAGCAGAAAGAGAAGACAGACTCTCCTCTTCTTTTAACGCCCTCAGAACCACGCCCCTGACCACCATTTTTAATCCATTCATTGCTGCATGGTCCTACAATGCAATCACCTCTTCAAGGCCCCACCTTACAATTACCATAATAGGATTTCCCACGCTCTTAACACTCACAGTGGGGGCTAAGTTTCTAATATATAAAACTTGGGGGATACAATTCAAGCTTCATTGAGTTTTGGGGGGACATAATTCAATCCACTACAGATGGTATTATTAACTGTGTCCTTGGATGCTAGTTTTTTTGTTTGTTTCTTGAATGTGGTTTCTTTCTTTTATAGTGTTGGTTTTCCTAAATCTTTGCTGATTCTTGGTAGTGATTTCTGGCATTTTTGTACCATCGATTCTTGGCTGGCCCTCTGTGAGAACAATGCCTGTTACTGCAGCCTGATGTCAGTAATTGTGGGCGAGCTTCCAGGGATATGGGGACAGTTGGATGTGCCACTAGCCCATCTTTTGTCTGCAGGGCTCCCTACTCTTCCTGGGTGTTATCAGACACCTGGGAAAGGTCTTATTTCTCTGGCCCAGACAGCACACTTCCTGCTTGGTTGGGGTGATGCGTGCCGCTGCTGCTTGCTATTTGGTAAGGGGGTTACTGGGAGGGCAGGTTGGAGGGAGAAACTGAACTACAGCACCCAAACAACCATCCTGTTGGTTGACCAGAGTCCCCTCCACTACCTATAGTCACAGTCCCTAAGAGCACACCCACACCCTCTGATACCTCCTGCAGCGCTCATCTATTGCCCACACTTTAGGCTGTGGCTTCTACTTTAATCCATTGTGTCCACTGTCTGTCTTTCAGGGATACTCTAGTCTCAGGTGGGAGGGTGGAGGAGAGGGGATTTAATATTTCAGCTGAATGTTGCAAATACTTCTCTACTGTTTCTAGGGTAGAAAGGGAGGACTGAAGCAATCCTCGCTTGCCCATCCTGAGCTAATCTGCATGTGATATTTTTTCTTGTCTTTTTTATTAAAGTATTGACATTGAATCATCTCTCTGCTTAGCCGCTTTGCTGTAATGCAGACATCCAACTTGTTAAAATGTCTGCGTTTGTTCAGGGACTGTCTGTCTTGTCCCACCGTATCTCTTTCTTATCTTGCACGGTGCCTAGCTCATGATAGATGCTCAGTAGATATTTGCTCAATTAATATGTAATGTACTCCTGAAAGTGTACAAAACTTAGCTGTTTGTGATCATTATTAATCAACACAAGCTGATATGGATTTAAACAATTTATTCACAGCATAACTAGGATAACTAACACGTGTATTTTTAAAAATTTGGCATTCTTGAGCTAAATCCTTAGAAGGCAGCATAGTTACAAGCTGTAAATGTGGTCCATGGTGGAACTGAAACTATGGTCTTGGTTTCCCAGAACTGTGCCTTAATAAACTGACTTCTTAGCTCTAGGGCTCTAAAGAGAATCACTCAGATGCGCACGCCACGTTGTCTTTATGTTAGGTGAGCACGATGCAACCAGAGCACATGGTGTGGAGAATGTGTCGTGGGAGGGAAGGAGTGGTGCCAGGTGGGCCAGGGGAACCACGGCCTCCTCTTCTCCTTTTGTGCTTCATGGCAGGAGAGGGACCAGGTGAGGATCTCGGCCACTTCTGCCCTGGGCCACATGCTACATCGAGTTGACAAATTCAAGCCTGGTTCCTCTGTCCGAAGAGAGATCTACACTTTTCTAGTCCCATTGCTGCTCAGCATTCAGGACGACAATGCCGAAGTGGTCAAGGTACTGGTCACCCCTGGACTGCCAAGCCCAGGCCCTAGTCACCCCTCTCTGCTGAGCAGAGCCCCTTCCCTTGGGCTCTTTCTCGGGAGTCCAGCCTGCTGTACGTTCTGTATCCAGATCTCTGGCCTCATCCTCTGGGCTGGCTCTGAGCACTTTCACGCTCTGCTCATGGTCTTCCCCTCTGCCCCCTGGCCTGGCGAGTCATAGGAACTGGGTTTGGGGGCTTCTCTTCTCTCCATCACATAGGCCTGTGCAGGGGCCCTGACAGAGTGGACTAACGTGATCGGCTGGTCGTCGCTCACCCAGACGTTCCGGCACACCACCCTCAGTGACCACATCCAGGTGCTGGAAGAGACCTGCAAGCACCTGGTGAGTGAGTCTGAGGAAGCCGGGCCACCTGGCTGCAGCTGCAGACTCAACCACAGGCTCGCGGGCGAGGAGAGGAGAGTCCATGGTTCTCCATGTTCGATTCTCCTCACATCCCAGTCTTTGCCTCCAAGGCTGGGAAGGTCATGCTGGGTTACAGGATGGTGACAGACCAGAGGTCTTTGGGGGAGAGGGACGGGAAGAGATATGGGCAGTGGTCATGGTGTGAGGGCCTGGGGCTTCTGCGAGATCAGGAATAGGCCAGAGATCAGGAATCCTTATTGAAAAGTAAACATATAAGGGCTGAGTGGGACTAACATGAGGAATTCTAATATTACAAACCCCTTACATAGGCACAGTGATTTACTAAGCACTTTTATGTCCATTACCCCACTGAAGCCTTACAGTCATGTGAGGGAGGCCGAGCAGGCCTTATTTCAGCTTTACAGATGAGAAAAGTGAGGCCAGCGAGTGTCAGGCCAGCATCTAAACCCGGCTCTCTGGCTCCACCTCAGCTGTTTTCTCTCTATCCTGTTCCTATCGGTTCCCAGGAGTAAAATTCTTCTCATGAGCTTGCTTCTGAGTCTGTGGGAGGGGTGGGGAGTCGACAGGTTCCAGCAGCTGAAGCTGGCTGAGGACAGACATGCCACTGTGGACAGGGTGAGAAGGCGTGGCTGTGAGGAGTCCACAGTGGAATGCCTGGGGGCCCCTCTCCTGGTCAGCACCATGCCTCTTTGGCTCAACAGGTCCACACAGGCAAAATGCAGCTTGTGGGGGAGTTACTGTCCCAGAGCTTTGGCTTCCTGAAGAGCTCTCAGTCCTTCCTAAGGGCAGCCGCAGTCACTTTCATAGGTAAGGGGTTGCTCCTGGCGATTTCTCCTTCCTCTGGTCATCAGGGAAGGCCTCCTTGACCTTCTGCTAAAGGGCTAAGCCAGACCATGGGACAATGGAGCAGGTCATCTCCTTTCCTACCCTTGACCGATTAGCAAGGTTGACCTGAGACCAGGCCTCAAATTCTGCTTTAGAAAGGCTCAGGGGAGGGAGAGGAGGCTATGTTCCTTTACTCCGTCTGGACTCTGCTTTATGGGGAAGAGAAACATATCCATTTGAAGGGGGAACAAACTTTTGCTTCCACTAGGACCCCATGGACTTTAGAAAATATTTTTGTTTTGAGTTACAATAGTGGTATGTGTTAGTGTTGGAAAACCTAAAAAATTCAGATTGGTAAAAAGAAGAAAATAATACCAAAAATTCCACCATTTGATTTAACCATGGCTAATATTTTGGAGTCTTTGTCCTAAGATTAAACCACACACACACACACACACACACACATGCATGTCTCTATAAGCACTTTTTTTTTTTAAAGGTGACTTGTAAGGGGATCTTAACCCTTGGCTTGGTGTTGTCAGCACCACGCTCAGCCAGTGAGCGAACCGGCCATCCCTATATAGGATCGGAACCCATGGCCTTGGTGTTATCAGCACCACACTCTCCCGAGTGAGCCATGGGCTGTCCCTTATAAGCACTTTTAAAAACTGCAGTCTGGTATATGGTTTTTTCTCTTGCTGTATCTACCTACCATTACATATTCTTCACCATTACTTTTAATGACTGCATAATATTAATTCCGTTGTATGAATGGATTTATGAAACGATTTAATCAGTCCATAATTTTGAATATTAAGATTGTGCCATTTTTTTGTTTGTTTTTATAAGCAGGGATACAGTAGTTAAATCTCTGCATGCCATCATGATTATTTCATTAAAATCAATTTGAAGTAGAATTTGCAAAGGGCTTGCAAAATTTTAAAGATTTTGATACTTTCTGCCAAACTTCTCTCTAAAAAAGGTTGAATCGTTTTCTACTTCCAGCAGTACTGTATGTGAGTATCCATTTCTACAGACATTTGCCAACCCTGGGTAATATTTTTAAAATCATTACCAATTTGATGGGTGAAAAATAGTATCTTCTTGTTTTGATTAATAATGCTTTTGGACAGGGATTTTTTTTTTTTTTCCCCTTTGGCAGCTGGCTGGTCTGGGGATTCAAACTCTTGACCTTGATGTCATCAGCACCACATTCTAACCAAGTGAGCTAACCAGGCAGCCCTGATTGATAGTGTTTTTTCCAGCATGAGGTTAAGTATTTTTCCTATGTTTATTGGCAACGTGTGTTTCATTTTTGCACACTGACTGCCTGTGCCCTACACTGACTGCCTGTGCCCTTTGTTCGTTTTTTCCACTGGTGTAAGAACCCACAAAATCTGACATTCTGCCGACAATATTTTTAGGTCATAGCCACTCTGAGGGTCGTTCTTTCACTAACATCTAGGCTGCAGGGCACTCTTAGAGATATTCTTCGCTAAAACTAGTTTACAAATTTCCTTGTTCACTACTGAGCCTGGCGAAAGGGGTGGCCTAGAGGTCCAGGATCGGGAAGGACTTTGCATCTGTTTTGTCTTTAGGATTAACAGCTAAGAGGTTAAACATGAATCACATACATGAAAATGATGTGCAGCTGATATGGGATGGTGAGTCTGGGCCTCGTGCCTGGGAGGTGGGTTACGTGGAGGGGCAGGTAGGGAGGGGCAGGTAGAATGCAGAATGGGGAGATTTCTTAAGGACATGTTTCATGATTTTAAAGTATATTTTTATCATTATTGACGTAACATAAAAAAGTAGAAAACAGAGAAAAGTAGTAGGAAATAACAAATTATTTGTTGTTCTGCTAGTTAGATAAAAAAAACTGCTAACATTTTGTGGATGTATCCTTCTAGTTACTGAACATTTATTGTGTACTGTTGGCACTTACGCTGCAATGGTGTTCAAGACAGACAGAGTCCCTGCCCCTAAAAAACCTGCAGTTTTTGTTCTTTTTTATTGCATTGACATTTTAAAATTTATGGTCATAGAAGAAATACACTAATATAGTCTCTTTGCAAAAAACCAGAAACATTATCAGTAAAGGTAAAGTTCCACATACCCCCGGTCCAGTCTGGCTTCTCTCCCCTCCCGCCCTGCCTGTTGGCTGTCTGGTTCTGTTGCCTTTTTCTGTGTACAAGTTTCATCTACATATGTCTGAACAGTCCGCATCTTGCTTTTGCACCACTGAACATGTTGGTACCTACAGATCTAATGCATTCCTTCAATTGCTGCATAGTATTCCATAGTATTGATGTACTATAGTTTATTATTTCTCATATAGATGAGCATTTAAGCTGTTTCACGTTTTTTGCTATTCAAACAATACTACTAAGAACGTTCTTATATGTGCCTCCTTATATACATTTATAAATGTTTCTCCAGGCTATATACCAAAAAGTAGACTTTTGTCATGCATATTTAGTTTAACAGTTAAAGTAAAACAGCATTGTAACCTTCCCTCCTGTCTTGACATTAATTCTAGTCACCATCCTTCCCAACTTAAAGGCTTTAAGAAGTTCCCTCAGTGGTATCTTGATGGTGTGCTCTCTTGGTTTTTGTTTGTTTGTAGTGATATTGTGTTACTCTCATTCTTGAAAGATAGCGTTACCGGTGACACAATTCTAGGCCAACAATTACTTTCTTTCAGCACTTTGAAGATATCATAATATTGTTTTCTGGCTTTCTTTGTGGCTATTAAGAAGACTGAGGTCACTGTAATTTTTGTGTCTTTGTAGGTGGTCTGTCTTTTTTCTCTGGATGTTTTGAGAGTTTTCTTTTTGTGTTTCATGTTCTGCAGAAGTATAGAGAACAGTATCACAAAGTCCTGGGTACTCATCTCCTGGCTACAGCAAGTGTCAGCCGTGGCCACTCTTGTTTTTTCTATATCTCTACCTACACCCTCTCCCTGCCAGGATTATTTTAAGCCCCAGACTTCATATTATTTCATATAAACATTTGAGTACATGTTTCTAGATGATACCCTTTTAAAATTAAAACACTAAAAAGATTATAATGGACACATGGACTAGAAAGCAAACTATGCATGATGTTTTAAGATAAAAGAGGTTCCAAGAATTTGTAGCATACAGGGGGCTTGAGACACCTCGTCCAGACCCTGGAGGCTGCCAGTGTACCCTTTGTGCCTCTGAAGTTAGGTGCACTTCAGAGAAGCATGGACTAGTCCTGATTTACAGCCACCTGTCCAAGTTCACATAAGTGAGTTACTAGGAGAACCAGTATTAGAATTTCCAATTCAGGGCTCTTTCCACTAGCCCTTGTTCCCTACAATGTTCTTTAACTTTACCAAAGTTCTGAGAAAGAGGTAGGGAATGGGAGCTGGGGTATGGAAGAAGAGGGGCTAGTATTTCCAATATCAGAAGAAAAATTTGACCTGACCTTTCAAAACCCTTCGTTGTTCCAGCAGCCAAACAGGCATAGCCATGTTTTATACAGAAGCTACTTGTGCCAGCTCCCTGCCCTTGCTCTCTCTATACAATTAGTTTCTTAATTACTGAAAACCTACTGTATGCTGGACACTCTTCTAAGCCCTGGAGATACTGCACTGAATAAAATGGATGTCCCTGCCCTCATGCAGCTTACATTCTAGTGGGGGTGGGGAACACTAAACAAGTACATATATGTTAAATAAGCACCGTGGAGAAAATAAAGCAAGGTAAGGGGAACGAAGTTTCAGAGGGTGGGGTGGGTGCTATTTTATACTGGTGATCAGAGAAGGCCTCTTCAATAAAGGGGCATTTAAGCAGAGACCTGAAGGGAGTGAGGGAGCAGACGGTGTGGTTGTCTACAGGAAGAGCATGTGGCGTGTTCAAGGAACAAGGCATTGATGTGGTTGGTGTGGAGCGAGCAGGAGGAGGAGTGGGAGATGAAGTTAGAGACCAGTGGTGGGGCGAGAATCGCATTGCGTCTTCCAGTCGTGGTGAGATTTAGGATTTTACTTTGCGTGGTATGGGAGCTTCATTAAGCATAGCTGTTAACTCCTCTAGGGGTGCTTGTGACAGGTGGTGGGGCTGTTCAATTCATTCTACTATTTTTTTTTTTTCCTTTTTGTACTGACTGGTAACGGGATTGCAACCCTCGGTGTCGCGCCCGTACTGGGGACCAGCAACGGGATCGCAACCCTCAGTGTTGCGCCCGCACCGCGCTCAGCCAGTGAGCGGAACCGGTCTCCACATGGGATCTGAACCCTCGGCGGGAGCGCCACCGCACTCCCAAGCGGCGCACTCTCCAGTGCACCACCGGGCCGGCCCAATTCAATTCATTCTACTATTGAATGGGAATGATTTTGAAATATTTGTTCTTCACTATTCTCCATGCTACAATTCCCTTCCTTTGATGCAGAGACAAAACAAAAAGAGTGCTGGCTTTTACAGATCGTGCTTCTAAGCCCTGTTGTATCTAAGAGTGTGTGTGTAAGTTAGAACATCCTGCCATGAATGTCACAGGCCCACTGTGGCTTTAGTGTTGCATGTACTTGTCCTCAGGGTGTTCGCCTTCTCATTTGAGCTCAATTGGAGTATCCCAGTGCCTGCTGAGAGATAATATTTTGGATATGCTGCTTTTGAGATCACAGAGGAATAATACCACAGAGGAAATAAATGCCTGGCAGACAACTAGAGATGAACAAGTCCTTGTTTCCTTTATGGTTCATTCACAGCTCTTCATTTAGAGAATAAAGTACTGAACTAAATGATTGTTGAGGGTCCTATCTTCCCTCCAAGTCAGTGGTGTAATGAAAAACATGGGCTCCACATTAGCCAGACCTATTTCAAATGCTAGCTCTCTCAGTAAGTAGCCATATGACCTTAGGTAAGTTGCTTAATCTCTGTGCCTCAGTTTCTTCCTCTGTACCACAAGGATAACAGTGCTGATCTTAAACATTGTTCTCAGTATTGAATGAACTGCATGTGAAGCTCCGAGCTGTGCTAGGCACAGGGATGTCCCTCAGGACATTTTTGCTGAATTGATTCAGGCTTCTGGGCCAGGGTGGGGGACAGTACTGAGAATGGCGGGTGGGGAATATACTCATAGCTGTGGTCAAGGAAGAATGAATTTGTCAGCTGCTCCGCAGGGAGTAGCCACATGACCTCTAGCATGCTAATAACTAGGTAGCAGTGTTTGTCCCCTTTGGGCTCTACCCCTGGCTTCAGTTCTGAGCCTGACACTCTGTACCTCTGCTGCCTTCTCCTTGTTCTTACAGCTGAGGTCTCTCTGTACCTCCTAGACTCCTCAGCCTATCACAGATTTCGCCTCACTTCCCTCATGCCACCAGCCTCCAGTAAAGACTGCCCAAATCACCTAGCCAGGAGGAAATTGTCCCCAAGGATGGTAATTCTAGTTACCATCTAGTGCCCAACAAATCTTGTGATCGGTAAATACTTTTTCAAATGACACAACTTTTCTGTTACAGCTTAAGCCCAGCTTTTTTTTGCTGTTCTAAGTATAAACAAAATCAACGTGATGCTGTAGACTTTGATGGGTTTGAATGCCTAAAACTAAAAACTTCTGTTGAGCCAAGATTCTTCCCGTTGCTGTTACCCTTTTCATGCTAAGGAATTTCCTGTCTTCATGCCTTCTGTTCCCACTCTAATCTAAGCCCCTACCCTTCCTGATTGGACCACTTTAACAACCTCCCAACACCCTCTTCCTCTTCTCTGCAGTATTCTCTGCACAACAGCCAGATTCTCTTTAAAACAGGTATGTTGGATCATGTCACCCCCATGATTAAAACCCTTTGACAGCTTTCCACTGCTCTTAGGGTCAAAGTCCGGACCATTGCCTTCACCCACTAGGCCCTGAATGATCTGATCTCTGAACAGTACTTTCTACACCATGAATGGGCCACCCCCATCTCCTGCTGGGAATGCTCTGCTCTGGCTCTGCATGTGGCTGGCTCTCAGCCTTTGGATCTTAGTTCAAATTGTCACCTTCCCAGAGAGGCAGTCCCTGACTGGCCTGTCTGAAGGGGTCCTTCCCATTTATTCTCTCTTGTTAGTTGGTTTGATTTCCTTCTTTGTACTTAATTTGTGTTTACTTGCTTATTTGTCTTTCCCCTGCTAGAACGTTAACTTCTTGAGGTTAGGGCGTTGTTCTCGTTCATCACTGTATATCCGGCACCTAGCCTGGTGCCTGGTGATAGATAAGTACTCAATAAATAGTTCTCGAATGAATTCATGATTATAACAGTGAAAGAAAAAGTGTTAATCCCATTTTTAATTAAAAAACCCTATCTATATGCAAATAGGTATTTAAAAAAGGATACTGCAAGGGTGAATACCAAAATATTAGCAGTGTCATCTCTAGGGGTGAGCAATTTTTCTTTTTGTAGAAGAAAATTGTAAAACTTGTATTTTAAATATTTTCTACAATGAAACAAGTATCGCTTTTACACCGTCGAAAATTATTCTAAACGGAGTTATGCAATGATGAGCTGGCATGTGGGTGGAGAAGGACAGGGTTTGGGTAGCCGGTCCTTAGGGACCCACAGTCTAGTTGACCCCTCCTTCTGATTTCAGCTCTTGGAAGTCTGAAGCATGATCCTGTGGAAACTGTCCAGTCCTTGGTCAGTGCTGTCCTGAAGAAAGTTGATGCAGATGCTTACTCCCAGCCTCCCTGTACCTCCAAGCTGAGCCGAGTAAGCAGTATCTTACTCAAGGTCCCCAAGAAAAAGATGCACCTTTTTAAGGTTGTCAAACGGGAAGGAGATAATGAAAATAATCAGAAAAAGAAAATCTGGGCTTGGGTCCAAGGTCTTCCAAATTCACTGCACGAGTGGTACAATAGGAGAGTGGAAAGTACTCCACTTGTCATCGGCCCCGGGAATAGAAGGCTGGCAGACACAGGAGCACCGAAGTCTAAAAGCCCACCGGAAGAAGCTGGGCTTGTCTAAAAACCGGCTGTGCGTCACTGTGAGTATTTAGAACTGGGCACCAGAGCTTTTTCCAGTTGTTTGTCCAGGCATCGCTGCTTTACTCGACAGACGTCTCTCTCTCACCTTCGGTCCCGCGAGGTGGGCTACTTTGGACTAAAGGAGGCAGATTTGATCTTGGAAGATACATTATGTTGCCGTTTTTCTCCCTAGGGGAGTGTTGGCTATCAGCATGTGTATTTGTCAATAAAACTTATTTTCTTATCTTAAAACAAGAAGGCTTCCATCCCAGTTCTTGGGATTTGGGATAAGCCTGGGTGACAGCTTCCTCCACCTTTCAGGAAGGAAGGGTTTTGCACAACCAAAGGGAGGAGAAGGGTGGCAGAGCAGCGTGGTACTTGGTTTTCTATCTTTGTTTCCATGTCATACATGTTGGATGAAATTCACATGACTGCCACACTTCCATGGGTTTATTCAGATTAGAGAGGGTAGGCTGTGGGTTATAAGCAGTCGAGTGCCAAGAACTCCATCCCTGTCTCTCATGCAAGCAGGCACAGCAGATTTCTGTGGAGTAAGTGACATTATTGTTGGGATAATTTGAGTTCATTTGAATTTATTTAAAAAAATCATTCTGAAACTTTAGTTTGAATACTTGTTCCCTCCACCACATAACAGTTGTAGGGTGCCCCAGTTTTCCCCACTTTGTTACTCCCCTGACTGAGAAACACTGGTGTGACCCAGCTAGCTGCGTGTTTTCCCTGCAGGCTTGAACCAAAGCTGAGGCCTTGAACTTTCCCAGGCACTGATAAAGGTGTTCAGGTTATTGCCCAAAACACTTAAAGAAACTAGCCCCGGCCCTGAGCCAAATTCCTTAAACCCTCATATAAACTCTGTACTGATACCCTTGTCGTGAACGGACATACCTGGGTAGAACACCCCTTTCACTTGCTGTCCATCATCAGGATGCGCTGCATCACCCTCTGTACGTAAGTTCCCTTATAAATGCTTTGGACTGATTACTGGCATTTAGTGCTTCTTTCTTTGGAATCCCAACCAATCATCTTTGGATGATTTGGGGCATTCCCTTGCAGGAATTCCTCTTCCACCACTTTTGGGACAACTCCACCTGTGGGTTCAGCGGGATAGAACACAGTTATTACTGACTAGTTTTTTTTTTTATGCTCCTTCAAAGCTCCGTGCTTAACTTCCTTGTGCCTAAGTTCTCATCTGGAAAATGGTATTCATAATTGCTCCTGTGGTATTGTCCCCCAATATCTGTTCTCTACTTCTTGCTTATTTTTTTTTTTTAAGCCATGCATTTGGCTGCCTGGAATAAAGGATATGTTTCCCATCCTTCCTTGGGCCTAGCTGTGGCCACATAAATAAGTTCTGACCAAGCATGTGTGAGGTCAAGTGGCATATGTGACTTCCAAGAAGTATTCTTAAAGGGCAAGGGCACATCCACATTCGTCCTGCCTGTCTTCCTGGTGACTCAAATATGAACGTAATGGCTGGAGCTAAACAGCTATCTTGGACCCTCAGGAGGAAGTGATAAATTAAAGATGGCAGAGCCAAAAGATAGGAGTCTAGATCCCTTACGATAGTAGAGCTGTTTACAGTTTGGAGAGCTTACCCTCAGACGTCACTCATATGGGGGTGGAGGTGGGGAGTTTATTTGAGTTTTCTGTTACAGGCACACCCAATCTTGATGGATTTACTTAACCTTCCAACATTGCTGTAAAGTTTAAAGGAGACAGTGAATAGAAAGAGCTTAGCAGTTTGTCTGGCATGAAGTCAGAGGGCAATGCTTTTTTTTTCCAAAAGAAATGAAATAGACTATTGAAACTTGGTTCTGAGAACTTCGACAGATGTGGAGAGAACAAAACTAGTTTCCACTTTGGTCACAATTGACTGATTTTACTTTGAAGTTAGCAAAGATCAGAAAGATTTAGATTGTTTCTAAATTTTATGTCGTTTTGGACAAAACCTTTTTGAGGCTTTGTTTTCTCATATTTATAAATGAGAATATTTAAACTTACTTTATAGGCTTTACAGAATTAAGTGAAATAGTGCTATGTACTTGGAATATAATAAGTACTTAATAAATGGCCCAGATATGATGATTAACTATGTGTGAACTGGATATTTCTGTGAAGGTATTTTTGGATGAGATTAACATTTAAATCGGTGGACTTTAAGTAAGGCAGATTGTGGGTGGACCTCATTCAGTCAGCTGAAGCCCTGACTAGAACAAAAGACTGACCTTCCCTGAGCAAGAAGGAATTTTTCCAGCAGATGGCCTTTGGACTTGAACTGCAACATTAACTTTTCCCTGGTCTCCAGCCTGATGGCCTACCCTACAGATTTTGGACTTGCCAGCTTCCACAATTGCATAAGCCAATTCTTTATTTTATTTTATTTTATTTTTTTTATTCCTTTTTGTCTTTTTTACTGACCGGTAACGGGATCGCAACCCATGGTGTCGCGCCCGTACCGGGGACCGGCAACGGGATCGCAACCCTCAGTGTTGCGCCCGCACCGTGCTCAGCCAGTGAGCGGGAACCGGTCTCCACATGGGATCCGAACCCTCGGCGGGAGCGCCTCCACACTCCCAAGCGGCGCACTCTCCAGTGGGCCACCGGGCCAGCCCGCCAATTCTTTATAATAAATCTCTCTCTCTCTCTCTACACACACACACACACACACACACACACACACACACACACTCTCTCTCTCTCTCTCTCTCTCTCTCTTCTCTGGAGAACTCTGACTAATGCACCAGGTGCAATGAATTGAATGTTTATGTCCTCCTCCCAAGTGCTCCCCATTTGTATATTGAAATCCTAACTGCCAAGGTGATGGTATTAAGAAGTGGGGCCTTGGGCCAACCCCATGGCTCACTCGGGTGAGTGCGGCGCTGGTAGCGCCGAGGCCGCGGGTTTGGGTTTGGATCCTATATAGGGATGGCCGGTGCGCTCACTGGCTGAGCGCGGTGCGGGCGACACCAAGCCAAGGGTTACGATCCCCTTACTGGTCACACACACACACACACACACACACACACACACAAAAGAAGTAGGGCCTTTGGGAGGTGATTAGGTCATGAGGGTACAGCCCTCATGAATGGGATTAGTGACCTAATGAAAGAAGCCCCAGAGAGACCCCTTGCCCTTCCACCATGTGTGGACACAGTAAGAAGGCCTTCACCAAACACAAAATCTGCCTTGATCTTGGACTTCCTACCCTCCAGAATTGTGAGAAATTTCTGCTGTTTATAAGTCACCCTATTTATGGTCTTTTATTACAGCAGCCTGAATGGACTAAGACACCAGGTACATAGCATCATCCTTTGAATCAGTAGAGAGGTGGGGGTTGATGAGACAGCTGGAACTTTACAGGAGAAATACCACTCTGATTTTAGCTTCTGAACCAAGAACTGAGACTTTCAGTGCTTTAAAAACTGGCATTTGCCCCTGTGGCCTTCAGCCCAGCTTTGTGCTCTACTTTGGCTTCTTGACTCCCACTTCAGTTTGCTCCCAGCATGGACTTCTTATTGACTTTAGATTTTTCTTCTTTTGTAACATAAGCATTCAGTGCTATAAATTTCTCCGTAAGCACTGCTTTGCTGAAGCCTGCTAACTTTGATAAGTTGTATTTTCATTTAGGGTACAACTTTTCTTTTGGTGGCTGGCTGGCACGGGGATCTGAACCTATGATCTTGGTGTTAAGAGGCTGAGCTCTAACCACCTGAGCTAACCGGCCAGCCTGCAGCTTGGACTTCCTAAGGATACCTCCAACCCTATCATGATCTTTAGTTCTTGCCACAGCTCCTTGGATGCACATTCTTCATACAGCTGCCCCAACTTTCTCCCAGATTTTGTTGGGCCTCCAATCTTATGTTTTTTGGGATCTTCACCAAGTCAGGCTACCTGGCAGAAGAAGATGGTCAAAGGCAGAGAGAAAAGTTGTTCTCTCACTTAATCTTTGTGTCTGTATCTCCACTCTTCCTTTGCACAGTCTCCTTTGCTTCTGCCTTCAGGTACCATCCCTCGCCTGTTTCTCTCGTCTCTAGATTTCCTGCATGCGTGGCACACTTCTGTTGTTCTAACGTTTTCATCACTTCTTAACCCTTGCAAAGGGATTTTGTTCAGACTATTGTACTGGCACTCCCTCAGCGCAGTTGCCCTTTGAATGGTCACACCCAGGGGATTTTTTTCTAGTTATTGGTTTCCTTGTCTTTGCTACATTTGACATTGTTGATCATTTTCTCCTTTGGCTCCATGGTGGCCATGATTTGCCTCTTACTTCTCTGATTAGTCGTTCATCTTCCTTTCTCCACCTCCGAATGTGGACATTTTTTAAAGAAACTGTGGTAAAATATATAACAAAATGTACCGTCTTAACATCAACTAAGTCTTGAAAACAGTTTTTAAGTGTAGAGATCAGTCATGCTAAGTACATTCACATTGCTGTGTAAGCAATCTCCAGAACTCTTTTCCTCTAGCAAAAGTGAAACTCTATACCTATTAAACAACTCCCTATTCCCACCACCGCCACCCCCCGGGCCCTGCCAATCACCCTTCTACTGTCTTTCTCTATGAATCTGACGACTCTAGGTACCTCACATAAGTGGAATCACACAGTGTCTGTCTTTTTGTGACTGACTTATTTCACTCAGCACGTGATGGTTAACTTTATTTGTCAACTTAGCTGGGCCATAGTGCCTAAATATTTGGTCAAACATTATTCTGGATATTTCTGTGATGGTATATTTTGAATGAGATTAACATTTAAATCAGTGGACTTTAAGTAAAGCAGATTACCCTCCATAATGTGGGTCGCCTCATCCAGTCAGGTGAAGGAGGCCTTAATTAAACAATGACTGACCTCCCCCTAGCAAGAAGGAATTCTGCCAGCAGACTGCCTTTAGACTTGAACTTCAACTCTTCCCTGAGTCTCCATCCTGCTGGCCAGACCAGTCCAATTTCGACTTGTCAGGCCTCCACAATCACCTGAGCCAATTCCTTAAAATAAATCTGTCCCTCTCCCTCTCTCTCTCCCCACAGCCTGCTGGTTCTGTTTCTCTGGGAAACACTGACTAATATACATAACGTCCTCAAGGTTCATCTATGTTGTAGCATGTGTCAGAACTTTCCTCCTTTTTAAGGCTGAATAATATTCCATTGTATGTATATACGATGTTTTGTTTATCCGTGTATCCACCAATGGACACTTGGGTGGCTTCCATCTTTTGGTTATTGTGATTAATGCTGGT